TGATGGCAGGAGTCGGCGTTTATCCAAAAGAACATCGCCCAGCAGGCCAGGTTTGGAAAGGGTCAAATAAAGAAAGTAATGAGCTAGATCCTCGCGCGCTCACGTGGTAGACGCCGCCGCCGACCACAGTGTACGTAGACCACAGGGTCCTTCAGAGTAATTTACAAGGTGCCAGCCATCAAACTAGGCAAAAACTGCTTGGGCAGCGCTTCTTGGCTAGGGCAGAGGCGGCTGCAATCAGGCTACGTGGAGCGGACCGGTGCTATGCGCCCAGAAGAATTTCCTGCAGGTTGCTCCCGCAGTTGGCATGGGTCAAAGCCACTAAGCCAGCCAACCACCCACCCACCCGTACGCACGCCCGCCCGCCCCCGTGTAATAACCTTCGCCGCCGTGACCCACCTTCTCGCTGACTCTGACTGCAATTGTGCTCTTTCACTCTCCCCCTCCCCTCCCCTCCCCTCCCCCCTCCAATCCCCACGTACAGCTTAATTATCTACGTGCCCCCCCTATGGCCTTTTCATTCATTACATCTTCAATAGTAGCCATACAGGCCTAAAGAGAATTTATCCAGGGCAGACCTATGCTCGCCAAATTGCCTTTTCAATCTTACAATGGCAAATTTGCAAATCTAACACAGTCCAAATATGCCGCGGTGTTGTTGAAGGCACTGCATGGGGGTACCTACGGTTCAGCAGCAGCACCACCAAGCGTGTGCAGGCGAAAGTACAAGTCAGGTTTATTAAGGGATGCCTCCTCGAGGGAATGAGTACCGCATCTCCTTCTGGAGATGAATGCGACGGAGTGAGTCGTACGGTTATCACCTCCTGTGATAGGCCAGTGAGAAGATAGGCCGACGATGATCTAGAGAGCAGGCGTGTTGTAAAGCAGGTGGAAGAGCTGGGCCGTCAGGTATGTCAACAGGCAGCCATGGTGGAAGAAATTGGCGAAGACGAGCGACTAGTAGTGGATAGATAAATGCTGGCAAGCCAACTGTTAAAAGGACGCCGCCTAAGTCAAGCTGTATTAGCACGGAGCATTAGAGCAGCTGACACCCAGCATTCCCCCCATTCTACTATCCAGTTAGGGGGCAAGGAAAAACTACCAGCGGAGAGCACATCTATGCAGCGTATTTACACATCCTTCAACTATTCCACCTGTGGGGTGGGCAGAATATATTGATGACAGGAGCCGGCCGGCGTTTATCCAAAAGAACATCTCCCAGCAGGCCAGGTTTGGAGAGGGTGAAATGAAGAAATTAATGAGCTAGATCCTTGCGCGATCACGTGGTAGACTCCGCCGACCACCGTGTACGTAGACCAGAGGGTCCTTCAGAGTAATTTACAAGGTGCCAGCCATCAAACTATGCAAAAACTGCTTGGGCAGCGCTTCTTGGCTAGGGCAGAGGCGGCTGCAATCAGGCTACGCGGAGCGGACCGGTGCTATGCGCCCAGAAGAATTTCCTACAGGTTGCTCCCACAGTTGGCATGGTTCAAAGCCACTAAGCCAGCCAACCACCCACCCACCCGGACGCACGCCCGCCCCCGTGTAATAACCTTCGCCGCCGTGACCCACCTTCTCGCTGACTCTGACTGCAATTGTGCTCTTTCACTCTCCCCCTCCCCTCCCCTCCCCTCCCCCCTCCAATCCCCACGTACAGCTTAATTATCCACGTGCCCCCCTATCGCCTTTTCATTCATTACATCTTCAATAGAGCCATACAGGCCTAAAGAGAATTTATCCAGGGCAGACCTCTGCTCCCCAAATTGCCTTTTCAATCGTACAATGGCAAATTTGCAACTCTAAAACAGTCCAAATATGCCGCGGTGTTGTCGAAGGCACTGCATGGGGGTACCTACGGTTCAGCAGCAGCACCACCAAGCTTGTGCAGGCGAAAGTACAAGTCAGGTTTATTAAGGGATGCCTCCTCGAGGGAATGAGTACCGCATCTCCTTCTGGAGATGAATGCGACGGAGTGAGTCGTACGGTTATCACCTCCTGTGATAGGCCAGTGAGAAGATAGGCCGAAGATGATCTAGAGAGCAGGCGTGTTGTAAAGCAGGTGGAAGAGCTGGGGCGTCAGGTATGTCATCCGGCAGCCATGGTCGAACATTTTGGCGAAGACGAGAGACTGATAGTGGATAAATCCTGGCAAGCCAACTTTTAAAATACGTGGCCTAACTCAAGCTATATTAGCACGAGGGCTACCCTTGGAACTTCCTCTTTGTGTACGACTACGTGATGACTGAATATATTCGAGGAGCTTTTGAGCTGTTCATTGTCGGTATGTAGTTGAGTATGATTTTCTCTTCCACAGTCCTCACCTGTACATCCGCTTTGTGATCTGATTCTTAGCTATATGTTTCGCTTTCAAGCAGTTTGCGCTGTTGTACAATCCTTCTCCTTACTGTCTTGTCAGAGGCCACAAATATTGGACATTTATCGGGATAATGATGTTATCCACAGTCCGTGCTATATAACGGGAAAGGACCCCGCTACGCTTTATTTCCGTGTTGTTAGAAACAAGCGCATTCCTATCAAGATCGTTTCACAATCAGTGTGTCCAAATGGGCCAGTTTCGACACAGAGCGTACAACATCTTAAGTCGACGTTAGTCAGTCAATTGTTCTTATCAATCGATACCTGAATAGTGGTCAGATATATCGGGGCTAGCTTTGCCTACGCAGGGACACACATTGAGAGGTTAAGAGAACTGCAGTGGCGGAAGAAAGTCGTTCTGATAAATAGGCCAGATAAGGCAACTGGCGTTGTTTTGATGGACAGGGTAGACGACTTTATTGGGTAAATACAGTCAATTCGGTCAGATGAAGAGAAGTCAGAGAAAAGATAGTATAGGAGAAAGACCGTCCTATTAGCTTAACCTGCATTCTCTGCAAGGTAATGGAACGACTTATTAAAGGGCATTGACTGTCTTATCTTGTGCAGAGGGACATGTTGTGAGCTGCTCAGCACGGATTTCGTCGTGGTCACTCCTGTCTGACAAGCAGTCTTTACTCTCAGGAAAAGTGGACAAGAGTCATAGACCAGGTCTGTCCAGTGGATGTCATATTTTTTGACTTTAAGAAGGCGTTTGATAGCGTTCCTCATGGACGACTCCTACAGAAGATTTGGAAATGTGGAATAGAGGGCAACATTTTTAAGTGGATTAAAAGTTTCCGGTCATGCAGGCTCCAAAATGTGATCGTTAGTACCAATGCATCCGAATGGGTGCCCGTAAAATGCGGCGTAGTCTTGCGACAAGAATCTGGGCGGAGGCGCTTCCCAGAACATCAGTACACCATAAATGGGGTTCCAATAAAAGAGGTGGACACGCAGAAAGACGTAGGTGTCTGGACATGCTCAAACTTACTGCCCTCTCAGCACTGCAAACGAGTCGTCCAAAAGGCAACCAACATCATGCACTGGATTAGACGTGCCTTCAAAATCTTTCCTCCAGAACTCTTCTCACAGATATTCGGCACGTTCGTCAGACCGCACTTGGAATACGCAATGCCATCATGGATGCCCTGGATTAAAAAAGACAGTGATGCCATAGAGCAGGTGCAACGACGGGCCACAAAACTGGTGGAAGGTCTCAGGACTCTGTCCTACGCAGAAAGACTGATCCAGTGAAATTTGTTCCCCCTATCCTATAGACGAATGAGGTGTGACCTGTTATGGACATTCTGCATTATACACGGGCATGAATGTTCGCTCAAAACTGAAGACTTCTTTGCATCCACGTCCACGAGTCAACTGCGCAGTCACCCGTACACATTCAAGCGGGAGCGTCTACGCCTAGATCATCGGAAGTTTTCCTTCAGTCAGCGTGTTGTTCGACCGTGGAACTCAGTACCAAGTGAACCAGTGACATCTGATACAATGGCTGTATTCAAAAGGCAGCTGGGTCGTTTCATCTTTAATATACCACTACTCTCACTACAAGACTATCTGCGGCCAGCCATTAATTTCAATTCTTGATTTCATCCCTAAATCATAGACCTGTATCACAGAACTATCCAGCAGCTGACACCCAGCAGTCCCATCCTACAATCCGGAAACGGCAAGGACAAACAACCAGATCAG